AATGAGATCGGATGTTTGGCAAAAGGCTGTATGTGTGTATTAGCGAATTGATTTCGCTGTTTTATGTAAGAAATTGTACATTTTACTTTACGTTACATTCCCGAAATACAATCATAAGGTAAAAATATGATGTGAGATTTTTAAAAAACCAAATAAAAGTCAGAAGACTTCGTAAATCGTTACATAAAGATTATTTCTACGTATAAGAAAGTCCATCTCGGATAATTAAGCGGCCAAGTGGTCAGTACTTTGAATAACGGTAGTACCAGTAAGGTTGCTGTTCACTACCAGCGCCAGAATATGAGAGTCAAGTGCATGCCAAAACATCTTAGTATTGGAAATCAAAGCAGCAGAGAGCAAACGGCAGATATTAACAAAAAACAGTGGATAATTTGGGAAATTTGGGAAATTGTGGCTGATCTTTTGGAGTAAAGATATTGTGTTATATCCAATACAGCTGCGATCAGGTGTACTTAAATTTGCAGATTGAAATCATAACGGATATCACCTGTAAAGCAGTATCTCGAAAAATGCTGTGTTGCTCGAAGATTTTGAATTATAATGTCTTCTTAGTAAGTTAAGATCGAGTTGGGACAGTAGATGAGAAGAATGCTAAGCAAAGTAAATAAACACTAAAGTGTCTAAGAAACTAATAAAAAATCCGTCTGCGGTTCAGAAATGGTAATTGCATCCCCGCTCATCATCGGCATTATTTGGCTTTATTTCTTTCGAAATGAGGCAGAAAACGTCGACTTTTTTCCCGGAATTCGATGAATTCGATGAAATCGACGATATATAATCTATTTTCAACAAGATGGTGCGCCGGCTTATGTTTCACGTCAAAACAAGGGCACATTGCGTGCAAAGTTTGGCGACTCGTTAATTTCGAGAGATGACCTGTCAAAGATTATTTTCTCTGGGGGCTAGTTAAATCAAAGGTTTACGCCAATCAACCAGCAACCCACGAGGAGCTTGAAGACAACATTATGCACACTATAGCCGAAATACAGCACCGGGTCATCGAAAATTGGCGTAAACGGTGCCGTGTTGGTCATTTGGCCGGCGTTTTGTTCAGATCATAAATGGCATACAATTATCTGCCTAACAAAAAAACAAAACCCATTTTGTCCAAATTTTAGTGTTTTATTTCATTTAAGACGACGTCGTTCTTGTTGGTGGACGCCTTACTTGTAAATTGAGAGATGCTAATCGCAGAAAGTAATAACTTTTCGGTAAACAGATAGATGAGTGTGAAAAACCGTAAATTTTGAGATAGTTCGGTATATAGGACAGAACCATGGTATAATATCAGCGGTTCTCACAATTTTGCATCTTCCTGAGGAGGAAAGTGCGTGTGCAAAAATTCAGAGCGATATTCCAAAAACTGAGGGACTAGCTCACGTATGTATATACTGACAGACGGACAGTCGGATATGGCTAAATAAACTCAGCTCGTTATGCTCATCATTTATATACATATCTATTTTATAGTATATCCGACGCTGCCTACTGGGTGTTACAAACTTCGTGGCAAAGTTAATATACCCTGTTGAGGGTATAAACATCCGTTCCTTAGTCGAAGAAAGAAAGAATTCTCCAAGTCTTTTAAGCTGAGAGGTATCACTGTACTTCTTGTAGTGTGAAGTCAAGTATATAAGGGTAACTAATGCTGTAAAGGATAAAAAAAGAAAACTATTATAGCTCGATGAGCGCATATATAACATTATGCAAGTTCTTTTACTATTCTACTTAATAAATTCGCAATACCCAATTAGGTCATCTTTTGACGTATTCTTCGCATCACACAGGCGCGCACTTATATCTTGGACTTGATTGGCTTTTAATGTTTTCATTATTTGTGACTTAAAAAAAAGTAAGTTTTGTTGTTGTATTTATTGTGGTTAAGTATTTTGACTACATATATATTTCATAGCTTTGTCCCTCAATTGCTTAACAACAAAATCAACGCCAAAGTACAAATTATAGCAGTATAGTCAACTGCAGTAACTACAAATACAGTAATAAATTTGCGAAAAGCGTTTGGAAAAAAAAAGATTGTAAAAATACAAAATCTATCCAAGTGAAGCATTAAACTACACCGGCGAACCACCAATCAAGCAAAGCGACAACAAATAGCTAAACACCAAGCAAACCAACAATTTTCCAACCCAACTGAGGCCACCAGAGCTATCGCACCTAAGCATAGTGCTGATCAATCGGCGGTCCAGCTACCAGGCCAAGCAGCCGGGCAGGCCGTATAACCACCAATCACCTTAATTAAACACTACCAACCTTAGCATTAGTGTTGATAGCTCGCCGACCGCAGTTGCAAGCAACCGAACTTCTGAGGAACAGAAGAAAAAAAAAAGCGATAAATAACAGCAATGAAATTTCAGCGCGGTGGTCTACATGTCAACAATTTCCGTTCTTTGAGGTGCAAAAAGGTTGCTGTGGCATTCACTGGAATCTTGGCGATTTTCTTTTTTGCCTCACGCTTTGACGTCCAGCGTTATTGGCTCTCTGCATTTCACCAGCATTGGCAATCACCGTGGCAAATTCTGTGACAGCAGTGTCAAGTGTGAAGCAACTACAATAGCAACAACAACAACAACATTATATTCTTATTGATGCCTCTGTGCGACTTAAAAGTGGCGCAGAACACCCAAGTTGCAACACCAATTGCGCATTTGGCGTCAATGAGCTGAAGTTCATTGTAAAGTAGCTTAATTACACCACTAAGCCTGCCATGTTTGCATTATTATTTGATAAATTAGTTGTATGCACAGGCGTAGGTGCAGGGAGGAAGGGGGTTTAAGCTTGACTTGTCAAAGCTCAAAATTTACTTCCGTCTATTGATATCGAATCTTGTAGCTGCTATTTTACCTTCTTTGTATGTTCTTGCAGTGTAGATTGTAGCAAATCATCGCTAAAAAATTAATGCTTGAAGTAGAATCTGAAAAGACCATCTCTTAAACTTTTAGGGAGAGTACCTTTTGCTAGCGGATATTCGTTTTAGACGATTTTGTTATTGTGGTAGAATAGATTATAATAGATATAAATAAGGCAATATATTGCAATCTTTATTTATTGTGCCCTCCCTTTAGTCCTAAATGTACAGACTTAAAAAGCCAAGGTCGCAGTTTTCTGACAACAAAATTCCCATTTTTTGCATATGAGACCTTATTCTATTGTGATTGATGTATATCACCTTAAATACTCTCAAGTATCCTATCAAAAAACTTCACTTAATGAAGACTTATGTAGCCAGTACTGCTACCATTTCTTTTCTTCTCCCTTCATGAACCTTATTTTGATAGTGTCTGTACCAATTATACTCCACCAATTTTTGCCATTCTTTAATTGAAGATTTTTTTCGTTAAAGAAAATATAAGAAATGGATAAATATTTTTTCTGGCCGATAGCCTTCGTTGCTAGTGATAAATTGCCATAGAGCAGAGAATAAGCTTCAATAATTTATGATTTTTCCTCAGACATGATTTGAACCTAAGGCTCTACAAAATTTCGAAGGAAGACATATATGGACATATGTATATCCATGTTAATTGGTGAAATAGATGGAAGTATTATATTAAGCATACCGTGTTTAGAACGTAACTCGCTGAAAGTCTTTATTATCAAAGCTGAGCTCATTAGGTCAGCCGTTATGTCGCTGTAACTATTAGGTACATAAGTCGGTCATATGTTTGAGGTTAGAATTCGTTTCAGTTGGTCCTAGTCGAAAACATGCTTTTTGCCTTAGCTATTCTACAAAAGTTCTTAAACTTTATAGTTCCAAATATTTTTAACTAAGCAATTAATTTCGCGTTTAAAGTTTCTTGCTTTATATTTTTGGGTTTGGAGAGATCGAAACCAAAAGACGGCTGATGAGTTATGTTGGAGCAAATTTTGATGACCGAAAAATTGATATATTTTTAAATTTCTGCAATTAGTTGCTACTCAGGTTAGGGTGAATCTAAGCCCTAGACTGAATATGTCTCAATAAGGGGATAATTTTATGGTTGGCTGTGCATTCTAACAAGTGAATTTTAATGGAATCTAAATATTTGCTGGAAACGAATGCCAAATATATGTTATTTCCAAGTTATAACTGTTATTATAATACTTTACTTTACTTCCAAGTTTTCGCTTGTTGAATTTATGTGGACCGATCTTTATGACTCACCCATTTCAAGCTCCGACTATAACTATGACAATGACAAGACATTTTAAACTTCATTAACTTATTAGGTAGCTCCATTTAGTCGCTACTGACTTATGGACCATCACTAACGCTTAGTTGCGAACTTTTTTTATTGCTGCTTTTATGAATTGGAAAATACACTTAAAAGGCGTAAAGTGACTGCTCGTTTGACATTTGTGCGAGCTGTCAGACGTTTGTATGTATATTTGATAGGATTGAAATGCTTTTTGAACGATTTATTAGCAGCGATATGTTGGAAGTGGGGCATGTGGCAGAGGTTGCCACACGCCATGACTGCAGAAATTTATGCGACACCGTGCAACATTGGGTGGTATGAACGCGTGGCATAAAAACGGCTAGCAGAGTGACATTATGAAATCTTATTACGCTGACGCCTTATTTTTGGGTGACAAAAATGCGCGAACGTGCCAAAAATCGGGCCGAACGCTGTGCATTGGCGGCCGGCTGACGCGATACAATTATTAATTTACCTTTCAGTTTTTGGCGCTTGCCATGATAAATGTTCACACTTGAGTTGTTGCAATTATTAATTAATCGTCGCATTTTATGCATTTAATCTGGCTGGCTGGTTGACGTAGTATATAGCCTAAGCAGGCCGCGGGTAGCGGGTAGCGCACTATGGTCAGCGTCAAGCTAACAAAGTCACTAGCAGTGTAATCATTGTCGTTTGCCATAAAATTTGCACAATCTCAAGCAATATGAATCTGTACTAGCGCTAAGTAAATGCTCGCGCTTTATAGGCCCTCTGATTGTAAGCACAAATACGCGCACGCTTAAATTAGCGCACACGTATTGCTTGCAGGAACAGGCTTATGAAATTTATTTCATATTTGGAGACGTTTTTATCACGGCTTTCCCACTCAGTAACTGAAAAATTAATTCACTTATTTATTAGTTCACACATGCATTGAGTCTCCATGCAGGTGCCTACACACACTCCTGCGAGTGCGACTGCATTTGGGTATAAGAACGCTCACTTGACTGGCGTCTAGACGGCGTTCGTGTCGCCGACTTGCATTTCCATTTCCAACTATCAGTTTGTTATTTTTATCAGCGTTGGAATTGGCAGACGCGTGTCTCTTTCCACTGTGAATAACTGTTTGTGGTTTCAAAACAGCTATTTAAAAAAAAAGTAGTTTCTATTTATGGCTTTTGTCGTGTAACTGGCGCTAGTATCCCAGGATTAATCATGTAAGTTTGGTAAGCAATGAAAATTGCAAGCCTACTAATTTTAAGAGTAAGCATTCACGCTTTGATTCAGCAACCATTCGCTTAAGCGGAATTATCGTTAAATATAAAAGTATCTTATTTATAAATTATATAATAATAATTTCGTACAACATAATAATTCTAAGCATGCAACACGATGCCCTGTCTATCAGACATCTTATCTTTCAATGCTTAATTCGGCTATCATTTCCTTAAGCTTAATAATCATGAAGAGAAAAGACCGCTCAGTTCGCGTTTTTTTATAACTATGAAAAATCCACGGCAATTCAACGCAGATAACATACAAGTTTTGCAAACAAATTTTAAGTAGGAAGCACATAAGCGAATAGTAAAATAGGAAGTTCTCTTTCACATGTCAACATAGCTAAATAGTGAACCCGAAGGTACAAAGTTGCTACGACATACTTGTATAAGGCTTTTTAAGAAAGTTTGTATTCAGCGCTTTATTCAGCTCTCTCTTATCTAGCTGAATTTATTCGGCTCACATTCTCTCTAGCTGAATAAGTGCTGCAAGCCAAAAGGGCTTAAATTTTTAACATTTTAAACTTAAAACATTTGAATGGCGTTCCAGCTTAAGATCATTAAATTTTTATAGCTTTCATTATTTTGGCTGCAATTTTTTTAGCTCGCTTTTTTATACTCTCGCAACCTGTTGCTACAGAGTATAATAGTTTTGTTCACCTAACGGTTGTTTCACCTAAAACTAATCGAGTTAGATATAGGGTTATATATATATAAATGCTCAGGATGAAGAGACGAGTTGAATTCCGGGTGACTGTTTGTCCGTCCGTCCGTCTGTCCGTCTGTCCACCCGTGCAAGCTGTAACTTGAGAAAAAATTGAGATATCTTTATGAAAACGCCATTAATCAAAAACAAATAACTTGCCATAACTAAGCTCCGCAATAAGATACAAGACTGTTATTTGGTGCACAGGATCACATTAGGGAGGGGCATCTGCAGTTAAAATTTTTTTAAAAAAAGTGGGCGTGGTCCTGCCTCTAATAGGTTTAATGTGCATATCACCTAAACCACTAATGCTATAATAACAAAATTCACTGGAAGCAAATGTTTTTAGAACCTCTACCTACATTGTGAAAATAGTTGAAATCGGGTCCCAACTCCGCCCACTCTCCATATAACGGTACTGTTAAAAACTACTTAAAGCGCGATAAATCAAGCACTAAATACGCCAGAGACATTAAATTTTATCTCTAGGATGGTATGGGATGACTTTATAGGAACCGCGTTCAAAATTAGACAGTGGGCGTGGCACAGCCCACTTTTAGGTGAAAACCCATATCTCGAGATCTGCTTAACCAATTTCAACAAAATTCGGTACATAACGTTATTTTCATATTTTTATGCTATATGGCGAAAATGGGACTACAACCACACCTATTTCCCATATAACACCATTTTCAATTCCATCTGATTCTTTCACTTTCCACTATGCATATCAAGCAACAACGATTATATCGGGGTAAAACTTTGCGTGAATAATACGTTTAAAGTATGCCACCTTGTGACCAAAAATTGTCTAAATCGAACCAAAACTGCTTAAGCCCCTAAGTACTAAATATGTGGACCCCAGTGCCCATAGTTGACCTTCTACCGAAAATATCAGCCAATCCACACAGAAATCTCAAACGGGTATACCATTTGACTTTGCGAGAGTATAAAATGTTCGGTTACATCCGAAATTAGCCCTTCCTTACTTGTTTTAAATTGAATATTTGCTGAAAGCAAAAGGCGTGAAAACCAGGATATTATTTCTTAACAAAATAAAAAAAAGTAAGAAACAAAAGATCTGAGTTGAGTGAGAATCAAAAATATTCTCTAGAATATTCGCTCAGTGGCATTTGAACGAGTTAAAAAGAGTAAAACTCATATGTGATTAAACTTTTAAAATGTCATGAACAAAAACGTCTATAAAGCTGAATTTCGCCAATATTGCCACTTCGTAGAAAAATTGTAAATTTCCAAATATTAAATTCTTATCACAAATAAGTGATTATATTGATTTCTGAACTCACCTGAGCCATTGCTGCCGAACCAGAGGGCAACGAGGTCCTCACTGGGCGACGAGTGATAATGATTACCGTACAAATATGGACTGGGATAATCGAGTAGCATGCGACGAGAAGATGGTGACTCCGCTAAAATAAAAATGAAACCGATTAATTGCAGATCACTTGAAATGAGGTTAAAAAAAGCTTTGAGGCTCAAAAACTTTAAATAAGACTTTCCCAAAGACCAAGAGAGTAAATATTTTCTTATATAAAGACTTCATAATCCGACCAATGTCACCAGTCAATGGGTAAATAGGTGTTCCATATATCGGCTCCGTAATTATCTTATCGCAGATCAACGCCTTGGTGGCTGTGCAATAATTTGTAGCATTGATAAGACATTAGAGTCTGAGATGATCTTAATCGCAGCATAATAGCATTAGTTGTTCCTTATTTATACCTTTACCTATTTTCCTTATACCTGAGCGCGAAGCATGATTACAAAGAACCCTTTTAGTTTTCCAGTTTTGTATAGTACGGTGGAGATTTCTACAGTGCAATTGGAAGGAGAGAACTGAACTGAATCAGACTTTTAGACAACTAAGCGTTGAGATTACTACGCATATATCTACCATATAAACATAAAATTTTTTGGTGATAAATTGAAGAATGCCTTTCTGAACTTTTCGAGAAGATTTACATTGCTTAATTGTAGCTTAACCAGGCTGCTACTGCCTAATTAAATAAAATATAGGAAACTAAAAATTCTGTACTCACCTTGCACTTGAGCAGCGTATTCCGAAGCCTTTTGCAGATTTAAACGCGGTCGTGGTTTGGGCAAACTTTGTTGTGAGCTCGTTGTCGCAGTTATACCACTAGTACTCGTATTAGCGCCATTAGCTGCGGCCAATGCCTGCTGCTGACTGGCGGACGCTGATGAGTCCAATAATAGTTGCTGTACTTGTAAGATGTCAACGTATTCGTCTAATTCCGTCGACTGGGCTGAGCTGGAAAGTTGTGCGCCATTCGCCAAAGAGGCGCTTCCGGTGTTGACTGGCACCAGTGAAGTACCAACAGACGTTGGTACAGCTGAGGGCAGTGGATAATGCGGATGCAGGTAAGTGGCTGCACCCGTACTAGGTGTATAGAAACTGAATTGTGGCCCGGCATGTACGGGTACCGGTGGTGGTGGGGGCGGTGGAAATTGTAAAGGACTACGACCCAAGTTGAGCAACGGTGTTGTGGGTGTATTTAATGAGTCCGCTTGTTGTTGCTGCAAATGTTGTGCGTGTTGTTGTTGAAGTTCTTGCTGTTGCTGTTGCAATTGTTGTTGCTGCAACAGATGATGGTGTTGTATGGTACAAGAAGTTGCGTTTGCGGCGACACTTAAGTTGGGTGACAGCTGAAGTGTTGTACTAACACAGGGCACTACAAGACCATTCGTGGTGGCCGACACACTAACCGGTGCTGACTCTGTGGTGGCGACGTTGACGACGGCGCTGGCTGCTGTAACGATTGGCGGTACTGTGGCTGTGACTGCGGCGTGGTGGTGTTCATTCTCGCGACGCATTGCTAACAACATTTTCACGCGTAAAATCAAACAAAAATGCACACGAAAAGAAAACACAATGAGAAGGCGAACATAAATGAAACGGAAATAGAACTGAAAATAAAACGATTAAATCGATCGCTAATTTGAACTCCATTTGGTGGTTTCACTGACACAAAGCACACACGAATTTCATGATTGAATTATTATTGAAGTTGGTTACTTGGTTTAATTGATTTGTTCTCGCACTCTTTTAATATTTTTTTGTGGTTGTGATTGTTTTGTTTTTGTAAGTTTTTGCATCACTTTGCTTTCACGCAAATGTATAAAATCAGTCTTTAAAAGGACGTTATCGTAAAAGTATTGATTTCAATTTCTGGAAAGAGAGAGAGAGAGAGGGAGAAACGGGAACGGTTATTTTTGGAAATACGTGTGAGTTGTCACTTAAAAAGAAAAGCTAATAAAATATGTCTATAAATAACCGCAATTTATGGTAATATATAATGCTTCAGGCAATTTGCTTTTTATATCTATAAATATATGTTTAATAAAGGCAAGTATTTTATATTCAAATTTTAAACTTTTTGAAACTTTTAATATTCATATTAGCTTTAACGTATTCGTTTACATAAAAATCATAAAATTATTTAACGTGTGCATGAGTGTTTGTTGATAATATTTTTGTTAAAATTTTAAATTAAATAATGCAAGTCTCAAATGAAGAGCGGCGAAAGTGGTAGTAAAAATAAGTATACGAAAAGATTAAATATTAGACTTCGTTAAAATCATTTAAGTCATTTTATTTTGGGCACTGAGTCTGGAAAACAAACAGCAAATAATTATTTCTAAATTTATTTTCAAGCCACTGCACTAAAGTGCTCGCTAGTAGCAGAAAATAATGCAAAGCTTACGACTTTTTATGTGCTTACTCGAGCTTTTTGAAAATTATATTGTAGCATGATGGGTACAGCCATATACATACGAGTACAAGTAGGCAACATGAAGTATTACAAGTTGACGTTGCCTTCGAACAGTGGACAGTTTGGTGAGAGAGCCATCAGATTAGAGTTTTAAGCACTAGAAAATATTAGTTTTTAACTTTTAACACGGCTTTTCCAAAATCAACACGCCTAATCTTGGAAAAGCTGTATTCGACAGATGGACAAAGCCTTCGAACAGACAAAGCAGGAGAACTTTCCGAATTGGTTCTCTCAGCGCTTCTAAAATTTTTTATACCCGGCCTTACAAATGATCGGTAATTTTTTAGTTGAGAAGATATCTTAACAAAATTTGACATGGATTAAAAAAAAATGTGAATGGATAGCTAAAGTGATGATAAAAAAACGTTGGGTTGGCTTGGTTGGGGATTTGATCACAAAAAAGATATATAAAATTGTAATAAGTTTCATTGATTAACATGATTTTATACGGCAAATAAAGACTCCTAATAACTATAAGTACTAAGACTTTGAATGATTAATGGTATTTCATATGGCAAATACTGAGAGTACCAAAAGTTCATTTACAGTTGAATCGTAGCTGGAAAAGAGTTCATGCTCAATACCGCCAGCTTGACAACGAGATGCTTTAGTGATAAATAAGCTCAAAATGGCGAAAATTTTTCAAACGATGAATACTTTCACCTTTATGCGTATGTAAAATGGAAAAATAAGAGTTAAAAGGAATGCCACTACAGTGAAGGGGTTACATACAGTAAGAATTTTCAAAAAATCGATTTTTTAAATTTTTTCTTAATGTACATATATTTAAGAATACACACAGAAAATTTCATGTCGTTCCGGTGAATATTTTCGAAGTTACACGTAAATTTGAAAAATGTTTTTCTCAGAATGGTGCTTTCAAAGTCGGTGATCAACATTACTCGAAAACGACTAAACCGATTTGTCTCAAATTGTAACAAGAGCTTCTAAAATATATCTTTTAGTGATTAATAGAAGTTTTTTTTCTCTCCGATAAATTTTTTTGTTTTTATAAACAATTTAGAGCCGAAATTTCGGTGAAAAATCGATGTTTTTTTTGAGAAACCGCCATTTTGTCAAAAAGTTGTATTTTACTTATTTCTACGATTAATTCCTTTGAGGAAATCTGTTTGGTTTTTTTAATTTCAGATGGACCAGTTCAGAGATATAGTGGTTGTTGTTGTTGTCACCGCTCCCGGTGGTCAGCTGTAGCTCTGTTCGAAATAAATATTTTTACCAGTACATAGTTTAGTCTTAAAATATAGTTAAAAGTTACCACAATATGTGTATAAATTTTGAAGTCAATAAATTTAAAAGTTATCTCAGAAAAACTTTTGGAAAATTTACTGTTTTTCGGCCTTCTAACTGTATATAACCCCAGATTATTCCATTGCTACAGAACTTTAGCTTAACAGATTTTCAGTGGTTTTAAAAGTTATCGTTTTTAAGAAAACTGCTGCGAGAGCACATACCATCAACAAAAGTTGCGGTTATAACTGCTCAAATTTACTGTTTAGTTTTCATTAAGTTCTCTATAACTCTTCTAACGGAAACTCGAACAAGCAGTTAAGTTATAAATGTTCACATACATAACAAGCATAAAGCAAAAATATATCTAATATTTACCTACATTTTTTCTTGGCTTATAAAATCATTGCAGCAGTTTAATCAGATATCTTAAATGTTTATCAGACGCACTTTCGCTATTTTCACTGATTTGCGAATATTTTTTGTTTAGTATAAAATTGTATTTGCATGTTTTGGCTACAATGTTTTCAAAAATTGACTTTAAAGACACTTTGACACTTTATTATGCACGTTTATATATTTCGCAAGAGATTTTACTGTGCATACATACTTATGTATATTTCGTTTGATTAATTTATTAATTACTACAAGTGGTTTGCTAAAAACCAAAAAGGTCTGATTTTTTGCACTTTCGCGCAGTTTATAAAATTTACATTCAAAAATTCATTATAATTTGTATACAAATTTACTATTTTCATGCGATGTAATTTTTATTTTTCGAAACACTCGCACCGGCGGCAAATAAAAGCCCACAACCCACACTTTACGACCGACGGTCATTTCAGCACTTTTTTACGTTTTCGTAACATGCATATGATGGAATTTTAGCACTGCTTACAAATTACTTTTGACAAATTATTGTAGTACCGTTATTTATTTCAACATAACACAAAAAACAATAAGCCGTTAATTTTCGATTTACTAACCGCTACTCGGCTGCGTAAATAAACATTTATATCGAAATTGACACATTTTGACGTAAAAAGTATGTACGCTGTATAATATTTTGCACGATAATGATGCTCGAGCGCAACGACTTTCGCTGACGCGATACGAAACGAAACAAATGTGGTAAAGTTCTTAACACATTAGACAAACTACCGGGAGAGACGCGCTGTCGAGCAGTCGAGCCACCGAGTCGCTACTATCGGCTAGCCGGTAAAAGTGAATTTGGAATATCAACGCTGATACTAAAATGGCAGCGCCAGTTGTTTGTGTAGCGTTAGCCGCGACTGTTGCTGGCGGCAGCAAACAATAAAAACGTAAAGAATAAAGCTAACAACGCAACAGGCGACAGCTAGCAATAGCAAATACGAGCGTATTTATACCGAGCGGGTGGAAAAGCGCATGGGGACATTCTACCGAAGATGGGTCGCTCTGCATTGTGGGCAGACAGCTGTGGGATATTCAAACGAAAGCGAAATGTATGAATAAGTGCGAAGGTGCAAACGAAAATAAAAGCGACGGAAAGCGCAAGAATGTGCTTTTCACAAAAAAGTAAAAAAAAAAAAAACGAAAAAAGAAAAATACAAAGCCAAATAAACGCGGCAAACAAGCGCGCACGGCAAACGAACGGAAAAGCTAACGAATGCTCAGTGATGGCTAAGGAAAAGCCAAAGCAAAGTGCGCGGAAAAGCACGAGCAAGTGCGGGTGTGTGTGTATGTGTACATGTGTAGGCGCATTTAGTGTAGTGTCGTACTTGCTATAAGCTGGCGTGTGGGTGTGAGTGGTTTAAACCACCGCGACTAACAGTGGAAAACGACAAAGGTGAAAGCACCACAAAACAAATGGAAAAAGGAAATTCAACAAGTGAAGTGGTTGGTGGTGCTAAGCTGTCGAGAAATTGTGCGTGAGCAGGGTATGAGTGTGCGGTCGGCGCTGCAGCGCTGAGACGCTATGCAAAAGTAAATGTTTAATGACGCCAATAACAGCGCTGAGAGGCAATACGCTGGCGTTAGCATAGAACGCGTAAAGTGCGTAAAAGGAAGCGAAGCACGATAACCCCACCACCCACAAGTGGGGCGAGTGGAAAGTTGTTCTGTAAACAACTGCCTACCTGCTCAGGTCTCACAATCCGTTAAAACGATTATGCTATATTGCTGTTGTGCTCTAATGGCTGATTCACATACAACTTTAGCTGCGCTTTGCTTCAGACATTTGCTATGCTAGTTAAGTTCGAGTTTGTTTACAACGAGGCGAAGTAAAGCAAAGCGAAGCAAAATGTTGAGCAACTCTTATCTTTTTACGCTTTTGCAAGCAACATTCGCCATTTTTATTAGAGAGAAGCACGGAAGACATGCCCTTTGCTTTCTTAGCTTCATCGTTAAAGTATGAATTGTCAAGCAAAGCGAGGAAAGCTTTATGTGAAACGGACATAATTACAATTCCAATTCATAAACATTTATATTTAAGTTTTTATATTATTTATTACTACTTATGCGGACTTTTGAATATTGATTATTGATCGTAGCAATCTATGTGGTAGAGGCTACTAGATAAAATCAGTTTTTTGAATATGACTGCACAACGATTCAAAACTGCCAAGCAGACAAATATCTCAAAAATAATCCAGAATCCATGCTTGCAAGAAACTGGCGCCACCAAGCACTGAGGTACCAGCACCACCTTTGACTTGTAAGGTTCGCCGAAGTCTTCTTCAACTATGGCTAGTGTAGTGTTAACATAAAATTGTGTTGAAGTGACTAAATACTGTTCATTCTAAGGTCCATATTCTAAAGAATATGGAAGGCTTTAAAATGTATATGGGTCCACAGTGTCACCACCTAACTGCAAATTAACCTAAAAAGTGTTCAACAGCGATTTTCAAGTGCTTGTGATAAACTGAACCATCGTGTCTGATTTAAGTTCTTTAATCATACTAGTAACCCACAACCAGTGTCAGTATCTCTAACAATAGGACAACCGGGCGAAGTCTGAAGGTTACTTTACACATATGAATCACTTTTCTTGCACATACCTCACATATAGAGATTTAAGACGATTTGCCACAAACACCAGAAGAAGAAATAACTAGAAGTGCATTGTGTATTAAAATCACAACAACGGTATATGGCTTTTACAAGGAAT